TATATATAGCATGGGAACGACCTCTCAGTGGTGATGACGCAGGTGAGAAGGCATTGTACTGACAGAACAAGGCAAAATAATATATACACATATAATACAGCCTATACACAAATGCACTTATTTTGAATTCATGCACCCTATATAGATTTAAAATATACATATGCCCTATATATAAAAACATTTTCAATAAACATAAATATGTACATTTTAAATGGTATTAAATCGTAAATTGTTGCTTTATAAAAAAACACTTTGCATAATTAGGCTACTAATATCGTTTATACAATCTGACAAAAAAATGTTCTTACAACTCTCCAAAAGCATCAATAATCTTGTTCTCTGTTTGTTCTGTGCATAAATCAGTATATGCACCAACTGGCTCTCATATTAATGCGAAAAAATGTTAATGAGATTCTCGGAAATACAAGAAAAAAAAAATGCCCGTCAGGAATAAAAGATGCTGGTGTTGAAATAAAGCGTGTTCAGTGAGTGCTCCTCCACACCTGTGCTCTGCAGGATCTGCGCGCCCCACAGCCCGGCCAGCAGCACCGCTCCTCCGCAGCAGAAGCGCAGCAGCGGCCGCCGTCTGGAGCTCCGCATCCCGCTCGTCTGTGCGCGGATCTCCGTCAGATCATCCCCGCCGGCTCCTCCTGCTGCTGCTGTTTCCTGCCTCCTCAATAAACTTTCCTGTCACCTTGTTTATCTTCATCACAGTCAACAGTGCGCGGTTTCAAACTACTAGGAAGCATCGCTGAACTAAATTCACGCACAGCGTGGAACGCGCACAAATGCGCTGGGTTTGGGGAGGTCTGGTGCTCTCTCTCTCTCGTTCTCTCTCGCTCAGCTGCAGTTTGAAGGCGGCTCTTGCTCATAATTCTGAACCAATAGGAAAACACTACATGCTAAATACTCGTCGAGCATTATAAAGTGCAAAAATGAAGCGGTAGCTTTGTGATTTTATTTTATTTTTAATCAATCTAATTAATGTATTTCTATTAATCGTCTCTATATTATATCTATATATTCATCCAGAAGAAAAAAATATAGAAAATACAGTGAAAAAATTCTTTATTTGTTGAATATCACTTAAGAAACTTTTGAAAAAGAGTAAATATTGCACAGGAGGGTGCATGATTTTGCCCTCAACTGTGTGTTGTATACTGTATGAGCAATATCACATGAGTAGCAGCGCGATGTGGCTGTATATTGGCACTGGCAGGAGGCGTGCATTTGCTCGAGGCTGCAGGCCAAATGCCTTAGGCCGTACTCACACTAGGTACAGCTGCCTCGAACCGGGCCAAAGCACGCTTGTCCCCCCTCCCGTCTCCCCCGACGGCCCACACTCACACCACAAACGGGCTTCGGCACGCTTACGTCATCAATGCTGCGCTGTTCAGTGAGAAGCGCTCTCTCACTCAGCAGCACAGTGGAGATTTCTCTAGTTATATCGTTTCAGTCGGTTTGATATGCCGTCAAATATTTCGCCAAACAGTCCTTAGGGATGCGGGGACACGCAGTCAGATATTTCGCTGAACAGATCCGCCATTTTTGCCGCTCATAAACAATCATAAAGCCCTCGTGCTGCAGGAATGAGGAGGTCTGCTGAAGGCGCGCAGCTGTCCTGCAGTGAGGGGTTTGCGTCTTTAATAAACTACGGCAGTTTGCGTTCACTGAACTGTAAGAATTATTAATAAATCCATATGAAACAGCCCCTTAAAAGTCACGTCTCGCCTTCAGTTTCAGGCTTTGGCGCGTTTTGCACTCACACTACAAGCGTACCGCGCCAAAGCCCAAGTGAACCGCGCTCAGGCACACCTCTTCCAACCGGGCCAGGGCCGGCCAAGTGAACCGTGCCTGAGCCTGATTCAGCACACTCACACTTCTCAAACGATCCGGGAAACGAGCCTGGGCACAGTACGGATGGCATAGTGTGAGTAGGCCCGTAGTGTCCCACCAGTGATGATATACAGCCATATCACACAGTTACAAGTGTGATGTTGCGTTTATACAACAGTTCAACGGCATAATTGTGTGGATAAAAATAAATAAATCAAACACGGAGAGTCTAAAAACTCTTTTGTAAGAGGAACTACTTTCTTCCGCCATTCATTCACATCTGCAGCTGATGTCAAAACAGCAAGAACCATTGCTACTTCACCAACGTCACTTTAGCGCTAGTGTTTGAATGAATCTCTAGCGTAACGTATACAGCGATGACATTTTACGACTATTGACCTTATTCTAAAATGCGGAAGTGCGCCTGTTTTCGCGATTGTCTTAGAACTTCAGATTCAGTCGTCTATGGGAGAAATGACTAGGAATAATAAACGGTCAAACTACTTGCTCTACAAACAAATGTTTGCATGGCTATACAGACCAAGTAAAAATAATATAATAAGGAAATATCAATTTGCAACATCAAACAGCGAAACGAGCAGTTTTTAATGTCTAAAAATGAATGGAAGTGAATGAGACCGGAGATCTCGAGCCAAAACAATTCAAATGGCTGCGCCTGCTCATCGGCGAAGAATAAGGTGAATAAGGCTGAACGGCATGAAATGCCATCAGTTTACAGAGATATCACCCAGTATTTCTCTGTGGCAATTAGGAGATCAATACAGCACTACAATATACAAAAAAGAGAGATCGACTTAGAAAGTCGTTTACCTGTTTAATAATGATTTGATCAGCTGTTGTTAGAAATTACGCTGGTTTCTCTTAGGGCTTATTATGCTGTCTCTGTCGCCATCTTGTGGATGAACATCGTCAACTGTCTTTGCTCAAAGACAGGCTAATGGCCACCGACGTGCTGTCTCTCAGAAATGATAAAGATTTAAAATAGGCACTATAGTTGTAAAAAACGCACAGTTGCAATCTAAACAGCTACATTCTCGACTGAAAAAGCCTCAAAATTAAATTATGTTGTCCAACAGCTGCAGTATTTGTCAAACTATAGAGTGTCCTCCAGGGCCAGAGTGGGACTCATATTCAGCCCTGGAGTTTCAAGCCAGACTGGCCCACCTCAGTTCACGACTGACTATATTAAAATAAGGTTATTTCCAATTCAGTTTCTAATTACACTATCACGTCTTTTTTGAGAAAACAGCTCTTTTAGAACTTCAAATGTTAAAAAACCCTAACAGTATTATGTCTTAACAATAAAAATGAAAAAAAAAAAAAAAGTCAATTGTCCAGGTGAGATTCGAACACGGGTCGGACGGCGTAGTAATGCAACGTGATTACCACTGCTCCACTATAGCGCTAACTCAGGGAGAGTAAAGAAAAAAGTATTGGACTGTGACCTGCAAGACATGGTATTACTTTCTATTGATGGCTTAATCTTCTTCTCCCCTTTTTAGATTTCTGATCAAGTTATGTCAGATTTATTAATGTAGTGAATCATCTGATTTTCATTGAGCAGGTGTATTATTCATTAATATTAATTATTCGAATTCGCTGTTTGGGGTCGAATGATGATAGTTAACGTTACATCATCATTAACGTTAGTTAACCTGCAGGCTGCATCTTGCTCACGGGGCTGCGAGAAAATGAATAAGAAGAGCGGCGCAAAAATAACGAATAAAAAGAGTGAAGCTATGGTCAAATAAATAAATAGATGAAAAAAGTGCGACTGCTGAGAGTGCAGGCAGCTAGGGACACCGGCCCTCACGGCCAAAAAACGGACTTCTCCCGGTGCTCCCGATTAGCCAATCCGGGCCTGGTGTCCTCTGCCGCTTGTTGCTGTATGTGGGTGGAGTAATACACAAGTGTGAAAAGGCAGTACAAGTGCTGTTACTGGCAAAATATTGCACTGCTGTCAACCAATCAGATTCAAGAACCAGACAGAAATGTTGTGTGTGTGTGTGTGTATGTGTATGTATATATATATATATATATATATATATATATATCAACAACTTATTATAAGGTTCTATCTAACATTTTTGTCAAAATGTTATTCTTATTAAATGCCAACTTATTTACATTATGGGATGTTTAAGTTGTTTACATTTTAAGACTTTTTAATTAAAAAACAAATGTTACACACAAAACATCAACTTTTTTGATAATGTTGGTTCATGTAATGCATGCTTCAGTGAATCAAATGTATCGTATTCATTTATTTAAATGACATATAATTTATTCATAAAACATAATTAAGTTTTCAGAGTTTTGAGGGGTATTTAGTGTATTCTAACCATCCTCTGATTAGTTATTACAAAGGTTTCTGTAGCTCAAACTATGCTTTTCATTTTAGGTTAGAAAGAAACACCTATTTTACAAAAAAAAGTGTCTTGTGAACACTTACCATGTCAAGTGTTCAGATTTAGACTGTTTTCCTGCATAGACTGATTGGCACGATTATGCATTCACAGTGGATATCCTTCAGGAGGGTTCAAGCATTATTTCGGTGGGGGGGATAGTCCCCCCTAGACCCCCTTGTAATTTGCACCATATATACATTACAGGCGTTGTGGACAAAATTGTTAGTATAGTCCATTAAAGAAAAAAAAAAAAAACCTCAGTGGTCACTGATTAAAAGTAATGATCATTAAAAAAATACTGAAAATAAACTAATGGAAATCATATAGCTTTCGAATTGTGGTTCAAGAGAAGCATTAAAAAAGCAATGAAATGAAACTGGCATGGACGAAATTGAAGGGTACCAACAATTTCTCTTATATTTTTGCCACCAGTTTATCCAAGAAGAAATAATTTTGCTCTTTTTTCATTTTTTTTCATTACAAATGTTTTATGGCATATTTCAGTTTTGCATTACTACACTATCCAAATTTCTAAGCTATTAGACATGATTAAGGAGCAGATATACAGAATAATTCCAGTTAAGTGGGCCAAACAGCATTAAGCTAATCTTATTGTATTTAATAAATATTTTAATTTAATTAAAACTGTAAACAAAAATTGCCATTGTTGTGTTTAGAACTTCCCTTGCACGTCTATAATGTAATCAACATTGAAGGAATTCAAATCACACATTTAATCTGAAGTTCACCACCAGATGGCGAAATCGCCTGTGTCTTGATTTTCAGGCGAATTAAACTCCTAAATCCAGCATGTGTGATATTGTAAAACTGTATCTTAATATTTGGTGAAACATTTATTTCACTATTTAACTTTGAAGTCAGTATTTACGGGCTGAATATGTCTCGAAACTTACTGTTTTTATATATATATATATATATATATATATATATATATATATATATATATATATATATATATATATATATATATATATATATATATTAATGTCAAAATGCCCACCCATGATTTATTTACCATTTAGCAAAGAGAAGGACCAGACAACAGACCCAACCAGCTTTAAAACTATTAAAACAACTGAGTCAAGTTTAAATAGCGGTGGTTCAAACATTCATTTCAGTTCTTTTGTTTTAGAAATGTAGGTTCCCACGAGGACAGAGAAACCACAAACACAACTTCTGTATTTGCAGATCACTGGTGCCTCAGACCTGATAAGCACAGACTGAAACATGATGTCAGAAGCTCTGGAAGACATCAAACAGCACACTGAGGCCAAATAAATGCCAAATACAGACCAAGCAGAGTATTGTCTGTCTGAATGTACTAGAAATAAAATTATGTGTTTAAGTGCACACCTAAGAGGTCAAACCGTTTTTAAAAAAGGACAAATTGTAGCCATGCTAAGTATGAACAAATAATGATAGCCTGTTGCTTGCAGATGTGAATGCAAGTCTTGGCAGCCATCTTTTGAAATGCCTTTTGAAATCTCTTTGAATGGGAAAAACATCAAATTCTCCAAAACTGGTTACCAATCTTACAATTTTATTTCGTATTTCAAATTATTCATATTTGGAATCACTTATGAAATGAAATCTATTAACAATGCCTCATAAAAAATAATGTGAATTCATGACACTAACCTAATTTT